TTTTTTGCATCTTGGCTGCGCTTTTGGGTTTGCTGTGCATCTTCTGCATTGTGTCCATTTGTGTACACCTTCCGCATCATGAATCTCCGGTTGTTGTCCACCTTCTGTGTTTCAGGACACTGCGCGTGCGTCAACAGCTAAGGCCACCATTTCTCTATTTTTACAGCTTCGTCTCGTACACGGGGATTCGATCCGTCTCAACTTCTGCTCCAGAGTCCATGGGATGCTACCGAGTCGCTTTAACCACTCGGCTAATTGAGTTATTGCTGATATGTGTTATTTTGACATTGTTATATTGTATTTATAGTGAATTTTTAATAAAGAATATTATGCCCCCACACATCTATATCTTATCTCTTACAGTCAAGTGCGAACTTTGAGTTTTTCTTTTCAGAAATATTCTAAGTGTGAAGGTCGAAATTCGCCACCTAAATTTAATATTTCGAACTAATATTTGATAATTGTGAAAAACTATATATTCTCCAGCGCGTTTTTGGGAATTGAACCGAGGAACACTGAGCAACCGTAGTGGTAACCATAGATAAACAAGTATAAAAATGGTGGTAACTTAGCACTCTCGGCCAATTGGGTATACGAAACCGCTCCCTATTTGTAGAAATGCAAGTATCTTTTAAATGAAATATATAAGGTTTCGAAGTCGTAAGGACACGGTTAGGCAATTCGAGGTTTGTCTGTTCAATCCCCAATTGAATCAATATATTCAATAAGATTTATTGAAGGTATTGCAAAAATCTACATAATATGTGTGAGATAAGGAATAGTAGCTAATCTGAATAATTTTTAATAAATTGTATTCACGCCTGGTTAGCAGTGAACTAAACATACTTGGTGTACCAAAAATCTTGCATAGTTTACTAGGCACGAAAACCTAAAACCTATCATTTGGGACGCTAAATTACCTGTCCATCAGGAGGTGGCAGGAATCGACCAAAATCGCGACTTTCAAATGCAATTTCAAGGCTCTTCGTGAATGAAATTAATAATTTTAATAAATGTATTGAGTACACTAAGGTACAATCTTTGTATCAAACCAAAAAAATCAAAGTTCATCGTCTCTTTCATGGTTAAACTCAGCTTCAAAGTTGGCGATTTTGCAAACTTTAAGTTGGTCGTAGGGGTGGATTTTTTCAAAAACTGATTGCATATTCGAAACCATCGTCTCGAAGCCTATAATGTTCACTCAAAACATTTTGAAAATCGCGGAAATTTTGAAAATATTTCATTTTATTAGTAAAATTTTAATGTTGCTACCGGAGAATTCGATGTTCTGCACAGGAAAATAGCACCCCAAAATCTATCGGAACTAGTCGAAATGTTTCGAAAATCTCAAAAATAAACTCGATTTTTTAAAAAAAAAATCCATGTCGCAATCAAAAATTTTGATTTTTTGCAAAATCCACATAGAATTATCTAAAAACTTATAACATTTTCGAAATCAGGGCCCTAAAATCTATCAGAACCAGTCAAAACATTTTGAAAATCGCGAAAAAAAAACTTGATTATTTTGATAAAATTTCAATGTTGTACCCAAAGATTCGTTGTTTTGCAGTGGAACACGCCCTGAAAGCTCATCAATCGAGATAATTTCGTTTTTCAAGTAAAATGTGTTTAAAGAAACGTGAATTAAAAAGCGCGAAAAAACTATTTCATTAATAAAATTTCGATGTTGCAACAAAAGATTTCGATGTTTTGCGTAGTTATGCCGAAAATCGTGGTAACTTCATCTTTCGCAATTTTAATGAACGTATTTTGAAAATTGCGAAGAAACTTAGACAGCACACTAGATGAATTGTAGATTACATGATTATTATCTCCTACTAAAAGCAAGAACCAGGCATTGAGATTTAAGAATGTATATCGATTCGATAAAGAGATAATTAAGAAATTGGTTAAATTAAAATTTCAGTTTCTTTTCTAAGTTTAGTTATCTCTTCCTGATTTTTTAAATACATTATATATAATTTATGATGTATTAAAATCTGTATAGTTAGTCTTAAATTAAATTGCAAAATCAGTTTTATTTAATTATTGTATATGTGGCATTTCAAGCTTACGTCTAAACTGTTGGCATTCAACATTTTACTCCTTTAAAACTAATATTATTCGAGTTATGAATGGCGTCATGTAGCCAAATATTGCTAGATTTATAGAAATCTTTGTCGACAATTCAACATCTGTATTCCCTGTTTTGCTAATCACGATTTCATTTAGAACGTTTTAACTTATGTTCAATGTCAAATTCCTATATAACATAAAAAATCTTAAGGAACCAATTTTTAAACGCGCAACATCTTTTAACATGATTGATGGTCCATAGTATAACTTTTTAATTTACTGCCTTACATATTAGATAATTAATTAAGTAATCGTCAATTCTCCAGCTATATATAATCGTCAATGTTCCACAGTCAAATTTTTAAATGTTTAGGGTTTCTACGATATTTTTGAATTTGACAATTTTGTTATAAAACAATATTTTGTTTATCATTCAACAGTTTATTTTTTACCCGTTTTCCCCATTTTCTTTAACAATTTATTTTTTAAGTTTTATATCATCACAATTAATTTTAGATTATATTCTCTCTGCAGCTCATAGAATACTTACATTATTCTGATTGTTACAAAAAAAATTTAATAAACAACTTTTAATTACACTTAACATTACACAATTTTATTGTTAGGCTTAATGTCGTTTTAACGTAATAAACTAAGTGAAGTATTTCAGGTTGCTTATAATCCGAGCAAATACGATAATTCTTGACAAGTTTTTAGAATTTGTTTAATAATCGAACCGTGTAGTTTGAAACTGGCCTATAAATAATCAAGATGATATTAAGTATTATTATATTTACTATTGATAATGTCGGAAAGTAGTAGGCATAGATTTTATTTATTTTGCTATTTACAATTTAATCTCAGTTCTTGGACGATTGCATTGGTTGAACAACTAGTACGTTTAATTAATATAAAATTTAAAATGTATTAAATTTTAGAAATTATTTTACCCCTGGGTAAACCAGAACAAGACTATCTAGTTATCTTATCTAGTTCAATTAGTGAAAAACAAATAGAAAGTAATGATTTAAAAAAATATCGAGAAAGAAACCGAATTACAGAACAATACTCGACTACAGTCGATGAAGATACGAATAACAATAGAGAAAAAATTGATGTATCATACATCCAAAAAGTGCGAAAGATTAAATGAAATTATTTAAAATTCAATTTCCTTTTACACGCACAAAATGTAGATTAGTAGTAAAGTGTTTTAAAGATATGTAAAATAAATTCAGTATTGATCTTTAGCAATTTGAACCATGTTGAATACATGTGGCACCTTTAAATTTTATATTGAATCTGGTTGTAAATTTTAGAAATTGCCTAACTTCATTCTTGATTTGAAAACGTATATTATTCACTTAATAATTGTCACTTATATAATAGGATTTATAAATTTAAACACCCTTAAATAGTGCGACACATTAAAGTTCTAAACGCATATTTTTAAATTCATTAATACGCAAATCCTTAAATATCTCAATTTTAAGATGAATAGACTTATGCCATATTCAAATTGAACGGCTAATATAACATATTGGTATTGTCGAAAATTTTCAAAATACAATTAAGCATTTCCTTAATAGAGGTTGCAATCATTTTATCTCATTCTTCTGTTCAATCATAACATTGATACCTAAAACTCGTTTAGAAAATGGCTATCCTAAACTCATCCTTTACATTACCAAAAAAATGTTTTCTTTTAAATCAAATATTTATCGGTCCGCTATCACATAGATTTTCAACATGAGGGTAAATGTAACATATTTATATTTTACATATTCCTTGTATTTTGGATACAGGATTAGAATCATTACAGTAAACCAAATATCTTAAATTAATTACAATAAAATAGGAACCTAAAAACAACATTAAACCTAACACTAAAATTACGTAATGCAATTGACAATAACTTGAAAGAAAAATCACTTATAATGTAACACATTATTGATTAAAGTATGATAACTGAATGTTGATTATTTAAAATAGCTAAGCGTTCTTTTAATGGTAAAAAATTCTTTAATTATCCATTATGTTTTTTATTGTGTTCAACTATTTATGAGAATATTCATCTGTAATATTTGTTACTTGTTTTAATATATTTTTCAGTAGAAAAATTAAAGATAAAGAAAAAAATAAAACTGTCGAGACAAAAGTTATATCAAATATTATTTATTGTTAGCAACATATTGTTTGGTACTGAAAAATTAGCATATTCAGAAATAGAGAAAATTTGGTCTTTTAAAAATTAGACAATGGTGCTGTGAATTGACATTCACATAATTTTCTAACTTGTAAATTAGCAAGTAGTACTCTTGGTAGTAGTATTACAAGAAGTTGCAAGTTTCAGAATTGGTCCCTTTATAACCAAATTTCTTGGTTTATAATAAGAATTCGAAATTGAAGCATTCAGGATTATTCTTCATAAATGACAATGGGTTTTTAAATTACCTAACATCAGTTTTTATTTAATAATTGGATGTCTGAAAAACTTAACCTTTTGCACCCGACTACTCCTCTGAGGTGACATAACAATTTATCTATAAAATATTAATGTATAAAATAAATGTAAATATAATGTATAAAACAGTAATGTCTCAGTTTCTGTTGAAGCATCAAATAGAATAGTTTTCTGCAGTGATTAGTCAGTGCCTTGTCTTCAAGACTTATTCTCTATTGTTTACTTTTTTTTATTAAATAATCAACTTTTAAATAAAGAAAGGTGCAATTTGTCAAGTCAAAGTTTTATCAAAAAAGAAAGACAAAAAAATTTCATTAGACTTTCTGTGGAATGATAAAACAACTGTTACAATGCTAAATAATGAACAATATCAACCTTCATGTCTTTTATAGATTGCTTTAAACTTTAACATACTTAGAAAATTATCAAAAATAAATTCAAGTATTTTTCTTAATGCTTGTTCTTTAATGTCCACAAATTCATATAAAACAAATTTCATAACATTATCCTTACTTGGTTCTAAAATTTTACTCAATATGTCTACAGCATGTATGTTTTTCTCAGAAGTAGATAACATCTTAAACGATACAGGGGCTAAGGGTTAATACATCCAAAATATTATACTATATATAGTCTCAGGCTCCTTTTCCACTGATTTCTAATACACTGTTCAGTTTAGGGTCACTTTCACTCACTATTGCGCAAATTATTTTGCTACAATGAACATTGTTTCATTATTACAAACTTTTGTGGTAGGTGATTTCACTGTTTATAGTCATACTTAATTTCTGTTTTGAAAAACAAAAAAAAGTCACAAGAACAAACATTTTGTAAGACAAATTTGAAATATTACGGAATATGAAATTAACACAATTCAAAAATCATTCACATTTCCACATTAGATTTTACGTTATAATCTTAAAAAGCTAAACATTTTTCGAAAAATAATTATCAACTGCATCATTCAATTTATCATTAATATTTTAAACAGTTTATAGATGCTTCATGTACTGTCAGTAGATTAATATTGGTTTAGAGAAAGTGTGAAAGTGAATAGTATAACCTAATATGAAACTTTACACATTTCACTAGATTTTGAAAAATTGATCAATCATTGTAATAATGCGTAATGATTTTGGCAGATACTTGCCCTGCTTTTTGCCAAACCAAAGTCACTCATTTTGTTGCTAGACCAAATATTTATGCATGCAATATAATGGACTATCTACAATACATTCAAGTTGTATAAACTATCAGGCATGTCTAAAATAATTAATAGATTAAAATTCTAGAAAACTTAATTTATTATTAATTAAAAACAAGTCGTCAATTTACTGTAAGATCAGTGGTATACATAT